TGCCATCAAATTTTCACGAATTCTTAATATCTCCCCTTGAAAGAGGGCGTGGCTTTTCCTGTGAACAAACTTAAATTCCCTTCACCCAAGGATGCTTTGTGGCAAGTTTGGTTGAAATTGGCCCAGTGGTTATTGAGAAGAAGTCAAAAATGTGAAAAGTTTTCAGACGCCAGACGAACGCCAGACACTCTTTGATCAGAAAAGCTCACTTGAGCCGTCATCTTGTCACTAAATAATAACGCTATTATTCTATTTACATGTTTAGTAATATTTACAACGTGGAACAATAATCTGCACTATAATTATTAAGCGTGCACTAATTCGTTTCCTTTCATTAATTCCCCAATACATGATATTTTTTCCTACCAAAGACCCTAAAATTATTACAATTGTAACTGTCGCCTTCTTCTCTCAAAATCCGATCCTCCCTTGCATTCAAATGAAGTGGGGGAAAATGTGTGTACTACCTTCATCTCTTCCCTCTCTCCCATTCCTATTTCCTTTTTAATTATAGATGTTTATCAATGGGCCTACAAGTATATTACTTATATAATTAATCTAAATTAATTTGAATATAGGCATAAGAAAAACTGAAGTTAAGACTCCATGTTGAACATTATTTTCATAAATTCTCAGTTTTGGGACCAAAGGTAATACGGCTAAGTTTTTTGTAAAACAGTAAAATAAAACAAGGTAGATTGTGAAAACGAAATTGAACTTAAATACATGTAAAGCCAATAAATACACAGAAAATACGATACACATTATACTAATTTCATCAATATATGATTAAATGCTCATCTACTCAATTAAGTACATTATATTAAGTAATGTTACAATTACAGTTCATTGATATATGTATACATAAATAAATTAACACTATTAAAGGGTTTTTATCACGTATCTAAATTTCTTAAAAATAAAACACTATTATATTCTTGAAACATATAATTATCGTTTAATTAAGAAATAATGTTGAAAACGGTCGTAATTAGACGATAAAACGCCCGTAATATTGGGTCCTCGAAGTAAAAATCTCCACTAATTAGATAGGGGTCACGTGGTACTGAAACGTCATAGGTGTCAATGGTCAATAGAACTCGTAAAGCTTATCGTAATATATATTGAAGAGATTTTTACGCTAAATAAATAGAATGCATAGTATGGCCGGTTGAAATTTTGACATCGACTATATTCCTTTGGTTATGGATCGTCAATCTTTTAGGTATGAACGTCTAGAGAGAAATAACCAGATAATATGCCGACAATTGGAGAGAAATCACCGAAGACGAAGCCGTTGACAACTCGGGACTTCAACTAAATAGAACGAATTACTAAAGTTTAACTTCGTAAACATTTATAATATGGGAATTTTAAATTATCCTTCATTATTATTTTAATTAATTATAAATATATGAATCCTGTATATCTTCTATCTAGCAGTGAATATCATATGTACTAGAATTGACACTTCTTCAATGGCGCCGTACGCCATTACGAAGTTCACAACATTCCTACTAGATTCTGTGCTACTTTTAAAAAATGCGTGTTTGCCATTTATTATTTTTTAAAAGTGTCTTTCCTTAAAATATTTTATAGGACAGAAAAAAAATCGTGATCGATCGGGCATAAACGATTGTTCTGAATGGAGATAAACGCCATAGCATTTGCAGAGAAAGGGCCCCCTTTCTTCTCTCGACCAAGTCCAAGAAATGTGGGGAAAAATTGTATCTAAAACCTTTCTTGTGCACATTTGTGCACCATAAAGCCATAAATTATACCTTACAAGCTGTCAATTATTCAATTATCACTTAATTATTTTCTAACAGGTTTAAGGAAGAGATTGCAAGGGTACATGAAAAAAATCCGCTCTATGAATTTTTCTCATTTTTACATATAATTTGCCTTACCTTAATGGTATCATAATATGAAAATTTCAACTATGGTTATCAGGATTATAAGGAAGATATGGTTGCCATGGTAACCACCGTTTTTCAATATTTTGATATTTATGTAGTGAATTTTTAATTATGCCATACAGGTATCAAAATTGAAACAAATTAAATAATTTTCACCAGATATTAAATAATATGCTTTATATTCATCGGAAATAAAAATTGTATCGGAAACTACTGATAGATGTACTAATGCCACAGTTGCTTTGGGGAGTAGTCATTGTAAATTTGCAGCAATATTTTCACCCCAAGAGCAGTTTTCAACGTCTTGACAAAAAATTACCCAATGAATTTCCCTAAAACTAATATATTTTGTAACAATTATTATTAGTGACTTATGGTTAAAATATGAAGTGGGGTCATCACATTCTTTTTTAAGCTACATGCATTTCAATACTCCCCCCCCCCCTTCCTAAAATATTAAAAGATTTCATAAATTTTAATCTGATGGTTTGTTGCTGAACCTTTAATATGCATAATCTGTTACAAACTATAGAAAATACGTATAGATTAATAAATATTTTTTGCTGAAAATCTTGTAGTGGTTGCTCATTTTATACGTAGAGCAGAATGATATAAGTATAATGTACACAAAAAACAACAATATGCATATTTTTTTTACTTCCCCATCTCCAAAATATTCATTCCGTTATTATATCAACATAAGTACATGTATATACATTCTAAACCAGTGCACAGTGGTCTAAGGGCCAAATTATTCATGCTCTGAACACTCATCGAGTTCTCTGCACTGTGACTTGGAATCGGAAAGGGGGGGGGGGGGGGTGTCACTTGAACACATTGAATGAATAGGTTATTTCAGAGAACTTGTACCTGCAATATATACCGTATATAAAAATCCTAACTATTATCTTATTTGACAAATTTTATGATTTGCTATTTAATATTTACATTTTGCAAATATTTTTCCTTCAGATTCACTGCAAGTTAGAAAACAATTCATTTTTTCATGAACTAGGTAAGCCTACATATCTCCATTGTGACGTCATAATGCCACACTTGACGTCAAAACTATAGTGCAAACTGTTTTGTTTCAAAAATAATCGTTGAAAGACATTTATAAATTTTCGCTTCATGCTCACGCGGTTCATGAAATATGCTGAGGTGAAACGTCTTTGTTTATGTCCTCGTGAATTTTAAAAAATCAAATTCATTTTTCAAATATATTCCCGTGAGCATGATGAGTTGAAATGTTTTTTTAAATAAATGTAATATGCTCAAAATAATTTTCTCTCTCTGGTATACCTGGTACCTTCGTAGTACCTCGATTGTCAGAATTAACCTCTCTTAGTTTCGTCTGTCATTCTTACGCGCGTATTTTTTGCTAGATTTGTGAAAACTTGCAAAAAGAAACTTTTCTTTTCTGTCAGAAGAAGTGTGTTAAGTTTCAATTTTTTACCAAATACGACGAATAAAACATTTTACCACAACAATTAAATGTTTACGCAATAATGTGCCGACGATTCAATGTTTACATGGTCGATGTAAGAGTTGAAAATGCTAGAGAAGATCTTACAGAGGAAAACAATTTCCTCTGCGATATTTTTAAAAATACGTTCATGTCCAGCATGCGGCCTCAAACTGGTCTATACACGTATATATGAAAATCGCATTCATTTATCTGTCCATCCATATAGGCCTATATTCATTATAATCACTGAGAAAATCACGCCGTCTGAAGCTTCTAAGAAATGAATATCGATTCATAGATGTAGATCCTATAGGAAAGAATCCGATCTCAAATAAAATTCTAATATTAATATTTTAAATAAAACTAGAGGACGTAAAGATCCAGATATGAATTAAATTTATTCATGAAATAGATTTCAGTGTTCAGAACTACGACAAAAGGTAGACGTGTCGAAACGAGAAAAAAAAAACACAGGGATAAAAAAAAAAGTCTGCGTCGACGCTCACCAACACTCTGCAACATCACATCTTTATATTATTCTTTCTCTGCTCTAAAAATATTGCCACGAAGATATTTTGTCATGGGCGTAATCATAATCACGCTCCTTATTCAGCTGTTATTCCGGAAATGGTTACCGTAAATCTTCTTTTTTTAAACATCACATGAGTCGATCACGTCACGCCTTGCAATCGCTTCCTTAATAGACACAACAAATGAGCCCTTTTGTTTGCACAATAAGTACTTCGCTTGACCAGGATTGACACCTATGACGTCAGAGCAATGGCGCGTAACATCGGCGATCAAAATATGCATATTGAGAAATTCAAACTTTGAATCGCTGAAACATCAAAAATATTAATTTTCTAGCAAGGATTTTTAAATATATGATTTTAATAGCATGTAAACTTTGTTATATCAAAAAATTTTGAGACGTGATAAAAACCCTTTAAATAGCACTATTCTGTGATTCTGGGAACGTAATACAGGAGTACTATCACTGATTTCCTCCTGCCAGGAGTTAATCTGTATAATCTTGATCATGTTGATGGAAAGCTGAGCTCAGGTCACGCAGTTGAAAATTTTCTCTCTATATATTTCGCATTTCCCTTTATATATATCGAGGTTTTGTTTACATATTTCGCATTTCCTTTATATATTGAGGTTTGCTTTTATACATCGCTATTCCTTTATATATACAGGTTGGCACTATATATATCGAATCAATGTATAAATGTAAATTAATATTTTTAATTGATAAAACGTCATCAATATACAGTGATCTACATGTAAATGTCGAATTGCGGGCCACAGCAAGAGAAATCCATACGTATTTCCCTCTTTAAGTCGGAGACTTCTATATTAATAAATTACTAACATATACATGATGTATGTAGCTCTAAAAACTTCAACAAATATAAATTCCATGCAAGGTAAACAAAAGTCAATGTGCATATTAATTTTGTATGTTCAACACAAAGTTACAGAGAGTCTCCATATACAGTCAACAGTAACCACCCTTGATGCAAGTAACAAATTAAACTTAACATACATGTAATTATGGAAAATACAGAACAAACACGTGGTACTAAAGATTTCAAGTGGATTTAATTTGTTCGATTAAATTGAACAGACAACACAAGATATAAGCTGTTGATTCTTGTAAGGAGGGCAGGGCAAGGACCCGCAGACCGCATGCACGGGATAGAACAGTTTCCCGTTATAATCTTGCATGCGAGCTCCCTCTGTCATGTATTCTGGGTTTTCGTCGAGGCATAAATAATCTGTTCCATAGTGACCACTAGCATCTGAACCGGAAGTAAGTACCCCGGTATACTGAACAGTCCAGCCAGCTGGGCAAGAAGTTTTGGCAGGCACCATTAAAGTTGACGCTGCATTGGTAACCATACACACTGCACACGGGACGTCATCGTCTATTGCAATGTTTCTGTAGGTAAACTGGTACTCTGCACCATGGAGTGACCCTGAAAACGATGGGTTGTTGCCTTGAAAGCTTTTAGGATAATCCACAGGGGCAGGGTCAGGATTGTGTGGCAAACATAGAGTGTTACTTCCACTCCCAGCATTTGTATATTGTCGTCCACTTGAAATACCTATTGAAATCTGATTTAAATGTGAATGTGAATTATGTAATAAAAATCAAAGTTAATGAAACTTTAGTTCTTCAAAACATTCTTGAACATTAGATCTGTAAAATAAACTCACCACTGTATACTGTGTGCGTGCCGTTTAACGCTGGACATGTTTTCTTCCCCCATATGATGTATGTCTGGCCTATTAATTAATTAAAATGATCATCTTTTAAACATAAGCAATAAATCTCTTAATAGTTATGAAATAATTATGTTGTTTTCATATCACGCTATCAACGAATCATTTTTAGCTCACCCGAGCCGAAGGCTCAAGTGAGCTTTTTTTTTTATCAAAGAGTGTCCGGCGTCCGTCTGTTGTCCCTCTTCTGTAATCCGTAAACTTTACACATTTTTGATTTCTTCTCAAGAACCACTGGGCCAATTTCAGTCAAACTTGCCACAAAGCATCCTTGGGTGAAGGGGATTTAAGTAGGAAAAAATCTTCTCTAGAACAGCAAAGCCATGATTAGTCATATTATAACAGAAGTATCCTCAGGTAGTGTAGATTCAAGTTTGTTCCAATTATGACACCTGGGGGTAGGGCAGGGCCACAACAGGGGGTTAAAGTTTTACATGGTTTTATATAGGTGGTATAATGGTTGAGGGACATTTGAGTATAACGCAATGAAGACCTCAAATAATGAAATGACCTGACAATCTTTGGAATGGACTAGCCAAACTAAAGGGTATATAAGGCAAAGCTTTGGGAAAGTCAGGCATTCTGATTCAAAAGCTAGCTTAAAAAATTTTGATTGATTGATTGTATATTGTTTTACGTCCCATTCGAGAATTTTTCACTCATATAGAGACGTCACCATATACCGGTGAAGGGCTTCAAATTTTTACCTTTACTCGGCACTCAGGGCCATTGAGCAGTGAGGGATCTTTATCGTGCCAACGCCTGCCGTGACACGGGGCCTCGGTTTTTAAGGTCTCATCCGAAGGACCCGCAACTTTCACTTCGAAGTGCCGAGCGCATGGCGAAGGAACAGTTGCTACCTTTTTTTATCGACTTAGGTCTGTCGCGGCCGAGATTCGAACTCACGACCTCCCGATCACGGAGCGAGCGCTCTACCGACTGAGCTACCGTGAACGGTTAAAAAATTTTGATGCTGAATCAGCAATAAAGAAGTTAAGGTATTCCATCCCTAATAGCAACAGATTCAATGAAATTGAATACATAACAAATGTTTAGGTGTTTAATACTCAGTATACTTAGACATAATTCTCATTTAATACAGTAACTACATGTATTAGCATGTAAGGGTGGGATGTGTCCTAATTTATGACCTTGAATTTTGGTAAGGGTTATCTCTCTCTGTTTTTAATTAATTTGAAAATCAATTTTAAAAAACTTATCTGGTAAAAAATCGTTTTCAATTGTCATTCTATTTCCAATGTTTTAATGCATCTAACAAGTATTTCGATATTAAAATGAAAAAAAAAAAAAGCAAAATGGGAAAAATAAAACACGTCTTGTAAATATACCTTGTAAAATATACTGTTTTAATCTATACAGGTCGTTGCGTTTAACAGTCTTTAATAAAAAAAAAAAGACGGGGTGCTTGAAATTAAAAAAAAGAAGCACAAATCATGAAGAGTTTATTGAAAGGCTTTTTAAAAGCAATAAACAGCAAACCGCCCAACTATATATATACCAGGCATATGCTTAATTAGGGTTTCACATAAAACCACATGTATATAATTTATAATAATTTAATTTTGTTTGTATTCTAGCCTCTGATTGGTTAATATCCAAAAAGGAACACAAATTATTTCTGTATAACCTGGTTTGGTATGGGGACACACACCCCTGACAACCAGCTGAATCATCTGTATGCATACAATCCTCTCATTTCCAGTCCTCGAGATTCATGGAAAATTCCAGATTGAATAAATATACCTTTAACTTCAAACAATAATTCGATCTTACCACATGTAAACAAGCTGCTAGGCCTATGTATCAGTTTTTACCTCCCCTCGCTTCCCATCACTTCCGTTACTTCCGTTACTATGGTTGTATTATTGAGCGGCAAATTTGAACTAATAAAAGCAACGAAATTTTACACCCATAGTTATTTAATGATTTTAAAATTAAATTATAAGGAATGACTCTAATTCTTGGCCAAATTATTCGAGTATAACCTGGTTTGGGTCAGTTTACGCTGTTTTATAATCCGCTTATTATCCCTTATATTCACGTTGTGGAACCTGCCAGTATATTAAAGAGGGAAGTACTTTTACACTCGGAAATAAAGAATTTACTATCAATGCAGATATGACCTGTGCATCTAAGAACGTTATTTATTGTATAACATGCGCTGGATGCGGACAATTATATATAGGAGAAACGGGGACCACACTACGCACTCGTATACGCATACATAGACAACATATCAACCAACCCGAGTACAGAAAAATAAAACTCAGTGAACATCTTGCTGTTTGTGGACAGGGACAATTCTCAGTTTATCCCTTTTATAAACTCAAAACAGAAAATCTTTTAGAAAGACGGGAAAAAGAAAAACATTTCATCAAGATTTTTAAACCGTCCTTAAATAGTTTAATAGGGCCTCAGACAAAAAGTACACTGGACATACAGATACCCGCCCAGTCCATGTTTCATCTCACCCTTGATGGTTCTTTTAGTAAGGTAAAGAGGCCCGCATTTACAGTGCCTGCAATTTTCCAGGGCATCTATAACTGACACCCACTCTATCACCCGTCTTCCATTTCGCCACCCGTTTGCACTAAACTTTTTGCTATTGATCAAACTTTTCATACCAGGAAAACATGTTTCACACGTGTCCCCTTCACAAATATGACCAGATATATAGTTATGGTCGACTAACACATTAATTTTCGACGACTTTTTGAAGCGACCTTTTTTATTCCGCTGCAACATGGACGCCGCCATATTGAAAACTGTTTATAACGACGTCACGAGATATTTAGATATTTTGGTTTTTAAACTTAAAAATAATTTTCGGGTATCAACTTCTACATGAAATTGTTATATATGAGTATTAATCCAGTTGAATGAAAAAAAAATATGCATTTAAAGATTTTTTACTTTCCCCCGTAATCTACCGAGGTCATTCCGGAAAATGCCGAGCTCTCATGCTCAATTGTACATCCGATACCTTAACGAGGTTCGCTCCAGAGCTTTTGAGCAGATTTTCATTTTAACCTATATTTAAAAAATTCTGGATAATGTTTTAATTCTTACAATAAATTTGGATTCTACAATGTCAAATAAACTATATTCAGTTAAAACTCCATGATTAAATTCCATACCAAAAGCATTAAGTGAGGAACTATATTTTGTGGCGGAAGGTTTTTTAGAAGAAAATGATAACTTTTTCCCTTTCGAAGTATTTAAAGTATGTTAAGTTTGGACTCCTATTTTTACATGCAGTCTGCACACAGAGTTATTTTGTGCAGTGAACTGTTTTATACTGGTCCTAAATTATATATCTAATAAACTGTCATGAATTCTATCATCATATTTGATAAATATAGCAAATATATTGTGAAAATTAAGAAAAAAAATAGCCCTATTTTAAGCTCAAAATTAGCACTTTTTTAATAATATCTAAAAATTAACATCACAGACCCCTACTTTTAACTTTCTTTTCTGAATATATAAGATACTTTCAACCATTCTTCTTAAATTCAGTAAAATGGCATTACTTTTTACTGAGTTGTTTGCTTGTTAAATTATTAATGTTATCAAAATGAAATTTTTTGAGTGCAAAAAGGTCAAATAATTGAACATGCGGAGTAATTTGAAAATTTTTTCGTTGTCAAAAATTTTAATGGGTCTATTCAAGATGAAATAAGACAGTGTTTGTTCCCGTAACTTATTTGAATAAAAAATATTGGAGGAATACTGTAAAAAATGATTTATGTGCAAGACGTTTTTACAGTGCAAAAAGGTCAAACTAAATGCTCTGTAGTGCCAAAAGAAGCGCATTGACCCCCATTTTTTGTTTTGATTTTTAATTAAGCTATGTGTATAAATTCTAAAAATATACTTGATAAAAAATTCTCATTACTTTTGATGTCAGAATCCAACCTCCTTAATGAACAAAGTAATTTTACTTAGACTCTATAATTGTTTCCTCTATAAGCATTGTGACGTCATTGCATTGTTGTTGACGTTATCATCAGGTAGCGTTATAACGTCACATGTTTGAATTCTTTTGAATTGTAAAACGTCTGAAGAAGTAATGAAAGCGCTTACGTTTTACTAACATTGTTGCCTTGTTATTTTTAATTTTCATATTAATTACCGGACACTGTGATATTTCTTTTCATTTTTTTAGAAATATATGGAGATATATATATATATATATATATATATATATATATATATATATATATATATATATATATATATATATATATATATATGACAAAAGGTTTCAACACATGTATTGATATTATTTTCTTTTCCAAGTGATAAAATTCCCTTCTTTTTTACCCTACCTTCTCCGGTTTTAGTTCCTGACTGGTCCAGTATCTGTGACCGAAGAGACTGGACTTCATTTTTCAGGGTATGAAGCTCAGAACGTATCAATGTTGGATCGTCCAATAAAATGCGTTTTTCTGCTCGAGACATCAAGTTAGCATCGACAGACAAATTATTAAGAAGACATAATATCATATAAAACAACCGAAGGAAAATTGATACGACCTTCATTGTATTTCGAATTGGTCAGTACTGAATACGTAAAAACGACAGCTTAGAGTTCCATTGATAAGTCTTATCAATGACTACAAGAGTGGACCTATTAAACTATTTCAAGTCTAAATTCAACAGACATTAAATGAAATCAGCTATTTCATAAATTACCAATGAAAAAATTTTTACTATACTAGATAAAACTTCATGACACACATGTACACTTTGTTTATGTTTACACACTAAAACATAAAGATGTGTCTTTCTTTTAAAGCTTATTGTTAAAAGGACTCAGAGACAGTACATGCAGGATAAATTTGATTAAAATCAGATCTTTATTACGCTCCGAAATGTACAGCGACCATCAGAATTTCGGAGCGTAACAAAGATCTCATTTAATCAGATTGAGGCAGGATAGACTCAAATACTGCATAGACAGACGGAATAAAGACAGCAGAACCATAATGAAGATTCGAAGACGTCACACACAGGAGGGAGACTCAAAGACAGCACGGACAGGATACAGATTCAAAGACAGCACAGTCAGGATAGAGACTCAAAGACAGCACAGACAGGATAGATACTCAAAGACAACACAGACAGGATACAGATTCAAAGACAGCACAGACAGGATAGAGACTCAAAGATAGCACAGACAGGATAAAGACTCAAAGACAAAATCAGACAGGATAAAGTCTCAATGACAGTACAGACAGGATAAAGTCTCAATGACAGTACAGACAGGATAAAGTCTCAATGACAGCACAGACAGGTGAAAGTCTCAATGACAGTACAGACAGGAAAAAGTCTCAATGACAGTACAGAGAGGATAAATGCACAGAGACAACACAGACAGGAAAGTCTCAAAAACAGCACATAGACAGGATAAGGTTTCAAAGACAGGATTAAGTCGCAAAGACGGCACAGACAGGATAGATTCTCAAAAGCAGCACAGACAGGATAGAGACTCAAAAACAGCACAGACAGGATAGAGACTCAAAGACAGCACAGACAGGATAAAGTCTCAATGACAGCACATGCAGACAGGATAAAATCACAGGGGCAGCACAGACAGAATAATTTGTCAAAGACAGCACAGACAGGATAAAATTCCAAAGACAGCACAGATATAGGATAGAAACTCAAAAACAGCAAAGACAGGATCAAGCTCCAAAGACAGCACAGTCAGGATAGAGACTGAAAAAAAACACAGACAGGATAGAGACTCAAAGTTAGCACAGACAGGATAGAGACTCAGAGACAGCACAGACAGTATAGAGTCTCAAAGATGGCACAGACAGGATAAAGTCTCAAAGAGATGTAAATCAAACAACCAATCAATCATGTCTCTGTATGTAAAAATACTACTTGAAACCATATACATGTATTGGAATACAGTTTTTTTGCTGAAGTGCCATTCAACGGCATAACTGTATGGAATGTAGATTATTTGATAGTCAATTTTTGATCTCCTATTCTACATAATAAGATCATTATCAACATGTAATATTTACATAAAGTATGTTGTATGTACATCCCTTTGCTTCCTCCACATACATTTATTTCTATGGAGTCTATTTTACTTTTAAAATTTTTCTTGATTCTTTTCCTTTCAGAGTTTGATTGAAATTAGAACTGAAACTGTGTTGATCATTTTTGAATGGGTATGTATCACTGTACACTTGTAAACAGGAATTGGGTAATTGAAAAAAGTATTTGTAATTGGGTGTATATGTAATTAATTATATTTTTCATAGTAATTGGAAATAATTTGTAATTGACCATTTTATCAATTACATGCACTTCCAATTAATTAACTACACTGAAAAAATACAATGTAATTCAATTACTTTTCGATTACATTTCAAATACATTATATATTTCATATTCATGATATAATAAGCAAAACTTACAAACTTAAAAACTTTAAAAAACCTTTGTATATTTATATCTAAAATAAACGACACCGTCTGTCCTCCATAATTTAAATGTTATCATACCATTTTTTTTCTTCTTTCATTGTATGTTTTTTGCTATACTATGTACATATGTATATGCCCCTCATTTATGCTATTGTATCATAATTATATTTATTATTTTTGTCACAATTATGACGACTAATTTATTGTACCTCATGTACCACTGATGTTGGTGTGAGTGAATAAAAATGAAATGAAATGAAAAATGAAGAAAATACATGTATCTTTTTCACAGTCACAGTTTACTAACTGTCCGTTTTATTGTTTAAAAATATCCCAATAATTCAGTAATACGAAAATTTAAATGAATGTCTACATGCTAATACATGCAAATGATTTGATTTTAATATTTTGGCTTGAAATACTAATATCAGTTTTTTTTATACACGTTATCAAAATATGGAATAAATAAAAATATTTACAATTTTATAAGTTTTATGTTTATCTTAAAATTTGTACTTGTACATCCATTTTATTTAGCTATGAAACATTTCATTCTTGTTGCTTGATCATTGATATTTAAGAAAAGAAAACAGTTTATGTAATGAAGACTTCCCTTGTTGATGAGAGATAATTGCCATCCAATTCACAGCTATAAACTGTGATATCCATACCATGCTTTGTACATCGTCAAATATCTGGCCAATGGAGGTGATTAATTCAATTAAAAGGCTCCACTAGCTTCAGGAAGTATATATATATATATATATATATATATATATATATATATATATATATATATATATATATATATATATATATATATATATATATATATATATATCCAAAATTGAAATAAAGTCTCAGTAATCGGATTACAATATTAAACAAATATAAAAAGAAAACACAAGAATCCTCCGTAAAGCTTTAGCGCTTTCATTAAAATGAATTCATTTAATGAAAGCGCTAAAGCTTTACGGAGGATTCTTGTGTTTTCTTTTTATATTTGTTTAATATATATATATATATATATATATATATATATATATATATATATATATATATATAATCATCAAAATCATCTAAACAGCTTTTTATGAATGCATTTTAAGTATCTGAAACATTTCGTATATAAGGATTATTTAAGGTGAGCATGTACACATGATAAAGTAGGTTTTGTGTGGAGGAAACATGCCAACGTAAAGCTGTCGAGTTGATCCAAAATAATTCCTTAACGTTTCTAAAAAAAAAGGGGGGGATATAAAACCATCACAATGATACAAAATACACTCGTTATTTTATTTCTCATTTGTTTGTCTAGAGGATCGTTTAAAAACTATATAGTTCGTTGTTTTCCTTTACTGTAAGTCCACTATTAAATAAATAACCTCAGAAATAAAGACAGGAAAATCACTATGGCTAGTTTCTTCCTCCACTCCCCCTCCCCTTTCAATTTATGAAGAACTTCGAAAATAATGGCTTACTTCTTAAAGAAATCTGCCAAATAATCACTTTTTCCTATTTCTATTTCTTAAAATAGAAAATTGTCAGGAAAAAAGGAAAAACTGGCCGGTTTCTTTTCGGGAATTATATTGTGTACAGAGGATATGTGCATCAAACAACACTGACTATTGGGGGGGGGGGGGGGGATCTAATGATACATGAATTACAAAATAAATATTGAGTAGGTGAAAAAAATTGAATTGAAGAAAACAGTGTTAATATTATGACAAAAACACCTTTTTAGATCTAAAAGCAGTGTATTATTATCAGTATAAGGTTCAGATGTAATTGCTCTCCAATGTTGGTAAGCACCTCGAAGGGCATGGAATTCCGTGCTAAGCCTGCCAAAAGTGTTTCTTAATTTTCCTTAGAAACCAACATTTAAATTTGATAGATAATTGATATATTATGTAAAGTGGTGTATACCATTAAAATTTAACGATATTCTAAGTACCATAAAGACCCGTAGTTGACGTACGCATAAATTAATAGCAAGAAACAATAAATTGTACAAACAAAAACACGTGATTTCTTTTGGATTACTCTTCTAAGTATCCGTGATTATATTATTACGGGAGACCCAGGGTCGCGGAAACATTGGTTTACAGCGGGGACCTGCTAAGCTGATTGTATTTAATGCATGTTAGATGGAAATTCGATAGTTACTGTTAATGTGACTGATCGAAATTTAAAAATTTATTGCCTCATTGAGAAGAAAACAAAAAATCATGATACATTGCATCTTGTGTGAAAAGCATAAAACATCATTGTCTCAACTCTAGACAAAATTGCTAACGCATTACTAAAGAAAATTAATACTTCATTTTTCAAAATCTTCTTTATGATATAATTAATATAAAAATATGCAAATAAAGTTTAGAAAATAAAACAACAACTTTTAAATGCCTTAAATGATAAATACATGTAACCATAATGTTAACTGAATCGTAACCATTTCAATCAAAAAAAAAAAAATGAAAGTCATGCTCACTTTTTTTTTTTTTTTTTTTTTTTTTTTTTTTTTTTTTTTTTTTTGAGAAATAAAATTATTTTTTTCCTTTGTGTTTGTGTTCTTTATGTTCATACTACATTTGTTGTAATTAAAAATTCAGAAAAAAAATACCGTCTACGGCGTTTGACCCTCGAAGAGCATGCTGAAGCAGTCAGTATGGTGTCTGCAGCTAGGTGCTACTTTGGAGAAATTTGCACCAAGAATAAATTAAAAAAGAATATTTTTTCTTCTAGTGAATATTGTTTGCAAATAGATAAACAAACATTAAAATGATTTCTATAGAAAGACATGGCATTTAATAGTCACTACACGCCACTTACCACAAATTGGGGCAACTAAAAGTTGGGTGGACTAGGTAAGGACACCAAAGCATTGGGTGACTACAAGGCCATATGATAGTTAATCGTTGTATATTATTTAATATTTTAAGTGGGAGACTGCTTCTGTTGCAACGTCACTGACCACCATCGGTAATCACGAACTTCGTACCTGGGAAAATCGGT